GCAGGCACGGCCCGCGGGCCAACGGCTAGTTAAACGGCTATAAACGGCTAGTTTTTTGCCAAAAATTCTATAAATACTCACCTCCATTTCATTCCCAAATCACAAATTCACAATCTCTTCTTCTTATCTCTTATATTCTCTAAATCTCTAATAATCCTTATTTTCTTAAATTCTCTAATTATTCTCTTAAATTCTCTAATTATTTTCCTAATATCGGAAAAAATTAAAAAGTTCGTAATCGTAATTAGTGGAGCGTTGAAGCACGGTTGTAAGATCTAAACTAATCTTAAATTTATTATTGTTTTATTGTTATTATTAGAATAATCTTGTTTAATTATTATTGTTGTTAATTGTTATTGTTGTTGTTATAATTGTTGTTATTAATTATTATTATTGTTACAATTGTTGTTATTATTTATTTTTGTTGTTATTGTTATTGTTATAGTTGTTGTTATTAATTATTATTATTGATATTTTTATTGTTAAAATTGTTGTTATTAATTATTATTATTATAGTTAACCACTTTTTTATTAAAAAATTAATTGTTAATTATGGCATCGAACAACCCATCATCTAGGTCTAGGGGGAAAGGCCGACTTATCCGTAGTAGTAGTTCTAGGGAACCACCAAATACAACGAGCCCCCAAATTACGAGTCAAACCAATGACCCCATTTACTTCCCCCCGGGCTATGAGCCATATAATACGTCGGGATTTCCAGCACCACCACTAAACCAATTTCCACTACCACCATACCAATTTCCACCTAATTATATCGGTAATCAACAAAACTATTGTTCTAGCCAAGGTAGCCAAGAAAGTACCCGAAATCCCTCCGGTTCTACCCCTTCTACTGCCACTCCCACTAGTCCCCCTACTAACCATTACACACATCATGAATGGTTAACCGAAACTGAGATGCTACTTTTGAAAAACCGAAGGAGTGAGGTATGGCGTTATTTTGTCTTAAGTAAAGATGGTGAGCAATGGGCAAAATGTAAAACATGTAATAGTGTATTCACGGCAGTTACCAAAAACGGGACGGGACACTTATCTAGACACATGAAAGCTTGTGCAAAACCAGCTAGTGATCCAACCCAGCCCAAAATTTCCCAATTCCATCCATACGGCTTTACATACAACTATGAGAGGGATAGGGATGAACTAGGAAAAATGATAGTACACGCCGAACAACCTTTTCTTTTCTCGGAAAGTGACGCATTCAACACCTACATTAACAAAGCACTACAACCCCAACATAAAAGAATCTCTAGGAAAACCGTTCGTTCCGCAGCAATGAAAAATTTCCTAGAGTACAAAGTCCGGTTACAAGCCGAATTGAGTAACCTTAACTGTAGAGTATCTTTAACAGCCGATTCTTGGGATAGTGGTTATAAATATCACTATTTATGTGTGACTTGCCATTGGGTAGATGATCAATGGATGTTACAAAAAAGAATAATACATTTCAAAATGCTGGAATACCCACACACCGGCATTAACATTGCTCACCATTTAATGCAAGCAATAGACGAATACAACCTTCGAGATAAAATGATGTCTATGACTTTTGATAATGCAACCTCTATGACATACACAGCTAATCTTATCAAACAAAACTTAACCGATGTACTATTAGACGGTGAAGCTCTTCATACTAGATGTGTTTGCCATGTACTTAACTTATGTGTACAGGATGGAGTTCGGGCAATTGGCCCATACTACAGCAAAATCAGAGATGCTATTATGTCTATTAATAGCTCTAACATGAGATACCAAGAATGGAAGAGTTTTCTAAAACAACAAAAGATAAGGGTAATAAAAATTAGAACCGATTGCCCAACTAGGTGGAATTCCACCTATGACATGTTAACAAAGGCAATTGAGTACAAGGGCCCGTTAACATTATTTTACAACCAAAAATTTCCACAAAATGCTTTGTATGATGATGATTGGAATAACTGTGAAAGATATATGCAATTTTTACAGTTATTATATAACATGACGTATTGTTTTTCTACTGTTTACAATCCTTGTGCTCAAAACTTTCTTTCTAATGCATGCTTACTCGCCCAACTTTTCGCTGATCATCGCGATCAAAGTGATTATGATCAGTATCTTCCAGCAATGGAAAAAAAGTGGCGTAAATATTATAGTCAGATTCCTTTGATTTATATTTTTGCTTCCATATTAGATCCTAGGCAAAAGTATGAAAACACATTTATGTTAGTTGACATTTACTTTCAATGCATGTTTCTTGACGATGATGTAGAAAACTATAAGACTAATGTGAAGGATCAGTTTTTTGCTTTATATAGAGTCTATGAAGCCAAATATGGCACCGTTCCTCGCTCAGGGCCTTCCCAACCATCCAAAAACGTAAGTAAGAAGGCCAAACATTTATTTTCACAAGCTACTAACTTGATTTCAAGGTTTTCAGGTGATTCATCAATCAGGAGAACGCAAAGCGACGTCTCGGAGTTGCAGATGTACCTGAGTTACGACTTCACCAAAGGCATGGACGACGATGAGATAAACAGCCTCGACCTCCTTGCATGGTGGAAACAACAAAGCTCGAAGCATCCAACTTTGGCGGCAATGGCACGAGACATTCTTGCTATCCAAGTTTCCTCCGTCGCCTCCGAACGAGCTTTCAGCGCATCCGGAAGGGTTTTAGACGATAGAAGAACAAGTCTAAAACCCGAAACACTAGAAATGTGCGTGTGTTTCAAAGATTGGTTGGATGCGGAAAATCGCTCACAAGACCGTTCTTACGACCACAACGACAACGAAGAAGGAACCTCCGCTTCCGGTTCGGGTTCGGCTAGTTCCCAATCTATGCAACTAGCCGATGACCTTGAAGGCGAAGGCGAAGACGAAGACGAAGACGAAGACGAAGACGAAGACGAAGACGAAGACGAGCAAGAAGAAGGAGAAGAAGAATAGACAATTATTGTATATTGTACGATTTTTAAAAATATCAATTTTATCATTTTCCAATTTTTGTTTAATACCATCATTGTATGATTTTTATCATTGTTATCATTGTACAATTTTCTCAACTCAAGTAATAATAATATAAAGTACGCATTATTCACATCCAAAGTCCAATTTGCCTTTTTTCCCCGTTTTGTTACAATTTGTAAATTCATATTAAAAAAAATAAAATTATACCAATTACTAATAAATCATAAACATTAAATTTTAAAGTAATAGTATAAAGTAAATATATAAATATAAATATTGAATATACAAATTATAAAACATAAATATTCAACTTATAATTATAAAATTCATAACTTAATAACTTATAACTTATAAGTTATAAACTTATAAGTTACCTTATAAAACTTATAATTATAATTTTATAACTTATATACATTATAAACTTATTAATTAATAATGTTGTCATTAAAAAAAAAAAAAAAAAAAAAAAAATGAAAACTGCACCAGCCCGCAGCCCGGCACGTGGCCGGCACGGCACGAGCCCGCCAGGCACGAGGGCCGTGCCGTGCCGTGGGCTGGCCTGTGAAAATGGCCGGCACGGCACGGCACGAAATCCTGGGCCCGCCGGCACGACCGGCACGGCACGAACCAGCCCGCGGCCCACCAGGCACGGCCCGCGGCGGCCCGGCACGGCACGGTGCCCAGGATTACTAATCACATTAATATATTATATATACATATTTATGTTATAAATTTAAAATTTTACACATTTTAGGAACTTATTTCAAATTTTATACATTTTAGGAACTTATATTTTTTTGTTATAATGATAATTTAGGATTATTTGATTTTAGAGTACTAAAATCATGGACTAATATATCGATCGTTGTACCGTCCCAATAATGTTGACTTCATTCAAACACTCTTATTACTTTGCCACACCATTCTTTACCTCTGTAGTATCTCAATCTTTCCTATAAATTAAAGTTTTTTTATACCATTTTATTACCAATTTTCATTCCACTCTCTGTCTCCCTTTGTTCTCTCTATAATTCACAAATTGGATCATGAGGTATTATTGGTCTGCCCTATCACCAATTACCTTAGTCATGTCGGGTTGTGGTCATGAAAAATTTTAGTTAGGTTAATAATAGGTCGGGTTTAATTGGATCATGAGTAATTTCGGGTCGGTTTTAATTGGGTCATGGTAAGCTTCCAATCGGGTAATTAAAGGACAGGTAAAAAGTGGTATTGTTCGGGTCTAAACGGTTTCGGGTAGATTTTGTTTCGGGCTAGATCGAATTCGGATTTTATATTATTGGGTCTAATTGGTTTCGGATTAAATATGAGTCGATTCCAAGTTGGGTTTGGATCATAAATTACTGGATGGAGTCGGTTTCGAGATCACTTTGGGTCGACTCCAGGGCGAATTCGAATAAAAAGTTCCTGGGTCCAACTAGTTTGAAAACAATTCGGTTTCAGATAAACCTTTCAGGTCGGGTCAGGTTTTGACACCCCTACCTCCGTATGTATGAGTAAATTGCAATGACAATTTTGCTTGGCAAATGTCACTTGAGAAAGGGGAATTTGCAATAGTATGACGCCTCCACGTACTTCCTTAAATATTGATGCCATATATCCACCATATCATATTTAATCAACCAGCTAGTACGGATTATTATTAAGCCAATGCATTTGACATAGTTGTTTTATCATATGCAAAATTTGGCTAATTTCATAGTAAGCTCAAATAGTATATACACTCACAAATTTAGCAAATTGCGAATTATATAAATTCATTTAAGTTCATATGTAATAATTTGAGTTCAATGATTATTTAACACTTCTATATTTAACACTTCTATTTACTAAAGTTCCATTACTATAATATAATGTTTCAATGTAGTACAATTCATTTCATTCTCCGACCATCTAATACATACAGTTTGATCATTAATATTTGTCTAATACTTTAAAGTAAAATTATAAGAAGTTAAGTTTATGAAATGTAACTAATTTAATAACATTTTACTTAATAACATTTATATTAATACATTAGTGATAATCATCAGCTTAATTTTTTGGTTGAGATTGTCCTCTAATATGGTATCAAAAGTCAACGTGATACAAAGGTCACGGGTTCAAATTTCATTCAACCCTCATTTTACTTGTACAACATCACCGGGACGTTTTCTATCTATTAATCTCGAAATAGCTCGTGTTGATGACGGAATAGATACTTGGTGCCGAAGGTGGAACGATAAACAACAAGCAACAATGGGAAATGCAGGCGGAGATACACAACACCGGTAAACCAAGCAAAGACGGCAACAATAATCCACACCGATTTGTAGGGCAAAAGGATAATAATAGACACGATGAATACCAACAATATTGCCAATATGGAGAAAAGAAGCAGAACCAGACCAACCATCAATTTTAACGGCAATGATACTAAGAAGTCTTCTTCTGCATACGTTGAAGTCAATATGGAAAGGAATGTTAAAATTGACGCAATTGACGATAACAAAGAGAATGCATCTGATATAACAAATACCCAAAATAATTTCTCGCTATTTTGCTTGTCTGGTGGTTGGTAAATAGCTTGGAAGACTATAGTTGCGACTAGAGTCGCAACAACCATACATGAAGTGGAGGTCTTACGCATCCAATTCTCCCCGTCTTTTCTTAGTTGTGCATGTTCTCTGTTGAACATCTCTCGTGGCGTCTCTGTACTTTCCGTTACTTCCGTGTTGCTTACTTGAGTAAATATTGAATTTTCTGAATGAGCATATTGACGTGGTACTATACTTTCAACTGCCTGATTTCATCAAAAACTAAATTAAATCTTAAGCATAAGCATAATAAGCCCATAATGAAAAAGATGTTTATCACACATAATTAAGCCCAACAAGGTTATTACATCCTAAAAGCTAAGCCTAATTACCATACCCACAAATCCATGATACTTGTTTAAATTACGGGTTATATTACCAAGGATTCCCTTCTTAAATTACTAGCTTAGCTAGCCACTTAACTTTCTCTATTACTTAGCTCACCATGTATACGGCATATACTACAAACGATCATAAGTAGTTATGTATTGCTTCATCTATCTATAGCTATAGCTGGCAAAAAGCCTAGCTAAGAACATGTTACTCTTTTATTCAATAAAAAAATTAAAAGAACATATTACTCTTCCCTATATCACTAAGGTCTAAGTTAATATTAGATTCAAATCAACAGATAAAACAAATAATAAAATTTGTTTGGATATGTCTGTTCTTATCGTATATATTATGTACTAAAATTAGCAAGTCAAAGAAAAGAGTTAAGCTAAACATGGAAAATGTAAAATCACCTGAAACCATAAGATTTCACGCTGCATTTGAAGAGCAGGACCCGAGGCCATATCTAGTATTTCAGGCTCAGGTAGAGTGGCAGCTAAGTGTAGGATGTTGTTACCATTAAAAGGATTCGTGTAAGCGGTTAGCAAATGCCTAATACCTTCAAGCTGGAAAATATGACTGAAGATCTTCTCTTGACGGTACTCAACAGCAGCATGAAATATGGTTCTACGCTGATGGTCTTTTTCCCATATTAGATCCGGGTAATGACGAATGAGGGTTGTCACGAACTCATAGTTCCCCATCCTTATCGCGACAAAGAGCAGTTCAGGTTGTGGAAACGATAACAACTCAGATATACTCTCATGATTTCTTGAGCTTATAACCCTTTTCCAAAGCTTCTCAACCAGTTCATTTTTACGGTTATATTGGTGTTGCTTCCTCACTATAACATCAATAAATATGTTAATTACTATTCGTATTAGATTGTAATCATAATAATCAAACAAGTCACACAATAAGAATTTAACCGTACCCTTGATTTTGATGGAAGAAACTATACTAATAGATAACATATACGGTACTTAAAATAGCTTAGGTGTTATATTATGCACCCTATAAATTAACTCAAGCCTTTTACAGGGCATTTGGAATGTGGGAATGGGAGTTTGGGGATTAAAATGTGGGACTGGGAATGAGATTGAGAATTGATTTTGGGAATATATAAAAATATGACAATACTTTGTTTGGGTGGTTTAATGGGAATAGGTAGGGAATAAATAACAAAAATACAAATTTACCCTTACTATCCTTTCCTTTCATTCATTTCATTAATGGCAAAATTTTCTATCTATTCCAATTCCCATCCATTTATTACCTACTCTCCCTAGGTAATAAAATGGTGGGAATTCACCCCAAATTCCCAATCCCATTCCCTTCTTTTTTTCCCAATCCCATCTAACAAACAAGAGAATTTTTTCAAGTTTGGGATTAAAATTCCCATTTCCACCCTCAATTCCCATCTACCAAAAACCCCCTTATTACAGTACAAATTTGAGAGGGTTGAAAGCATACGCGAAATCCAACTGTACTTGAGATGATTTCGGCTCTCCGTCTGGGTCTTTCTTGCCAAGATATGCAATGGTGTATGGGAATTTCCATTTCGTCTAGTGGCTAATCCATCATCTAAATCTCTTTGTAAGATCTCCCAAGCCACATCTGCATTGATTGAAAATTGTTGGACAGTTGTTGAATCCACATAGCAAAAATTAGGGTGTGTCAAGTTATCCTTAATTAGCTTAGTTTGATAAGTTTATTCTTATAAGTTTAGACAATATTAGTTCAGAAAAGATCAAAATCAAATAACTTCAGATAACTCATACTCCGATACCTTGAATTGGATTAACGATCATCAAGAATAACGAGACATTTGCAAATGACAATGTGATCAATGAGAGATAGAAAGGTATAGACGTGAAACTAAAAGAGTGTAGACAACTAGACATTAAAACATACCGTAAAGGTCTTTTTCGAGGGTAGCAATAAGTAGATCGGTTCGTTCCCGGTGGGATAAATTTTCAAAACAATGAGGCAGGAGATGATTCACCATCTTCTCATGGCCTTGCAAAACTGCAATTTGAATTGGTTTCATTCCACTTCCGCCAGGGATGTTGAGCAGATTTTGATTAAACCGCTGCATGTCAACCACGATATCAACCACACCCGATGCAGCAGCCAAAAAGAAAGCCGTGTTTCCTTCATTGTTAGGCAGCTCCAAATCCAATACTTGGTTATGTGCTAGAAATTGCTTAACGAAGACATGGCGCCCCGCCGCTGCTGCTATATGCAGAGCAGTATCTCCGTTTCTTGATATTTTTTCTTCGAAGCAAGAAGGATGGTCTACATGTATTTTTTCAGCGGCTTTCCATTCACCGCTGAGGCAAGCTTTTTGTAAAGATAGATGATATTCTTGAAAGCGCTGGCCTGCACATCAAATGTCTATAGTTAGCTTGCGGCGGAGCCAGGATTTTTGACATGTAGGGCATCACTTAACAAATGATAGCAGAAATTAAAAGATAAACAAAAGTAAATAAAATGTTACATCAACAACACTTACAAATTCAAATTACTACCTAATATGCTATATATTACAAGCACTCGATTATTTAATAATTTAAGCCAATAATCAACCATGTTATAAATATGAAAATAAATATATATCTTTGCAAATTACAAGGTCTAATTGAAAAAAAAGAATATAGACACTATATATATATATATATATATATATATATATATATATATATATATATATATATATATATAATCACAATGTTTAATTTAATTAAAGTAACAATTAACCAGTTAAATATGCGGGGATACACATTAATTGTTACTACTATAATAAAGGTAGAAAATTGAATAATAGTGCAAAAGTGGAGTAGACAAGTGAAGTAAGTGGAAGAGAGATTTTAAAATATAGTTAGTCCTTTCTAAATTAAAAATTGGTATTTGTGTTTGAAAGAGGATGAAAAGAAAGTCTTACATATAATGAGAGATAATATAATCTAATCTTTTTGAAACACATCTAACTTAATCAGTTACTCTAAGATAATTAAAAAATGAGAAATGACGAAAGTAAGAGAGAGGATTGGTGATTTCAAGGTGAGAGCCTAGCAGAAATAGAGAGATTTGATTTATTTTTATGTTTATGGGGTTAGGTTACTACTTTCTAGGGTAGTAATAAGGTAGCCCATGCTTAGCAAACCCACTGAAGTAAGAAAAGTGAATCAGGGAGAGTGCGAACAAGACTTTAATTAATTTAATATCTTTAATTAATACGAAGGCCTTCTTTAGTTGTATATAGGAATTCCTATATTTTGTTTAGTTAACTTTATATATCTCATATATTATTACAACTTACTTTAATTTCTCAAATTTTAAGGATAATGATGTGATTTCATCCAAATATAAATGTGAAAAATTTGAGTGATCAAGGTTGAGTGAGATAAATAAATTACCATTTTTTTTTTTGAAAGAATAAATTACCATGTAGTAATGTAGGAATTCTAATTTCTCAAATATTTCCACTTCCCACATGTGTACTTTAAAATGATAATCAAACAACTGTACATAAATACGGAGTATATTTTTCATGCATTTTATTTATCCAATTATTGAAATGCAACCAAACAAGACTGAAGTGTAAAATAGCAATATAATCAATAATTAAAACCATTTTTTAAAACGGTTTTAACTAGATTGTTACACAATTACATATAATTTTTTCTTATATACAAGTATATATCATTATGGAAATAGAGTGAATAATACAAATAGAGTAAAACATCAAGTTTGGACATTTATATTTTTTCTTAAAAAAAAAAAAAAAAAAAAAAAAAAAAAAAAAAAGCACGAAGTATATTCTAAGGAAAAACCTCGGCCTAACCAGGCACACACTTGACTATGCCATCCACGCTTCCATGGTAGTAGTTGTACCATGCACTAGTAGTAGTTCCATACCAAGATGAATAATTTAGTCGTATTCAAAAAAGAAAGATGAAGAGTTTTGTTCTTACCAGACGAAGGACTACTAGTAGAAGGCAACAGAAGAGGTTGTTGTATTGCTTGTAGTTCTACGATCCCAGATTCAAGATCATGCTGATCAGGAGGCGCCATTGAAGTGATGTATCTTTAATTTGTATGAAGTTTTGTTTTTGATTTTTTTTTATTTTTTTAAGCAGACAAATATTTGCGTATGATGAACAATATATTCTACAATTATATTCATGTCACTGCCGAAGCTAGGCTAGTGCTTTTTCGAAAGCTCGACAAAATGTCTTCGTTCTCTTATGTGGTGCTAATTAATCGAGATCACTTTAACTACAAACCTTTTTACATGTTAATCTAGTACCGTCTGCTTATTAGTTAATAATTTCTGAAAACTCCATGAACATGAACATGAAGGTCATTTTGTCCAAAAAGTAGAATGTTGTGGTACCTTTACAGCATCATCAGCCAAAAAAGATAACGAGTAAGAAGTTAATTCTAGTTAATCTTACCTTTTTCTCTGAATAACATGATAAGCAATAGAAAAGGCATACATACGCTCATCATCACAAACAATAGGTCAATAGGTAGAGCTATGATGAAGGAATAAGCAAGGGTTTATTGTATTAAAAAGATGGATTTTTTGTCAGAAATTACGACCTAATAAAACCTAAATTTTGTAAGAAATAACCTAATAAAAAAATGTTGTAATGAATTACCTAATAAAAGGTAAAACGTTGTAAGAAACTATTTAATAAAAGGTAAAATATTGTATAATCCTACTTCTACCGGATTTTCAACGTTGATCCACATCAAAACACCCCCGAAACCACCGCTTTCATCCCCAAAATCAACACAACCTGCTTCAAATTACCTCCACCATGCCAAAACAACCCTCCAACTCTAAAACCATTACTGTTTAGGGTAAAAATACCCCCTGTCCATGTGGACAAATAGCATGCTAACATGTGTCAGTCTCAGAGAGGTTCTGAAAGAATCAATCCTCTAACGACACGTGGCAGTCCATGTAATGAAAGGGGAGTTGATCCTCAAACCCTATAAATAGGGAGAGATCCCCATTTATTACATATCCAGAGAAATTCTCACAAAACAAAGCAATATTAATTGCAAATATTCTCTCTCTCGGAATCCGAGAAAAACTCTTTACATTCCGCACTTTTTACATCCGGGCACACGTTCTAACTTGATCGTCGGAGGCGGATCGGAACTCTACCCAACCGGAGTTTCCGTGGTTTTGCAGGTACAGACGGTCGGCATCCACTCTTGGAATTGTAATTCTCCCGAGGGACTCCAAAAACCCCAAAACATTTGGCGCCGTCTATGGGGAGGATACTTTTAAGATGGCTTCGCAGCAGTCTGTACCGCCTGCTAATGAGAACCGGCCTTTGGCCGGAGTAGAGGTATATACGGACCAAGACAGTGGTGACGACTTCGATGTCGACACCTATGTAGCCCCAAACGGGTCACTCGAAACAAGACGCACCCGTTCTAAGGAAACAAGGGAATGGGGCGAAGACAAAGCTGGTCCTAGCGGCCCAACCGTCAAGCCGGCTGGACAACCCCAGGCGGTGGAGGGTGCTGCCCCTGTTACCAAAGACGAACTCATGAAATTCATGAAAAGTTTCAAAGGGGAAATCAAGGACCTGATAAACAAGAAGACGATTGGCACCAACAATGGTCAATTGGCCAAGAAGCCTTCTCCCTCAGGGAAGAAGCATGTGAAGGATCATGTGCCTACTCCTCACCCTAAACCAAAGGGGGCGGATGGGCCCGTGATTGATTTATTAAAACTTCGTTTCCCTGAAGTAGGGAAAAGGAAAGCCATCCGGCAAGTTCAGTCGGATGGATCAAAGAAGACTTACTCGGATGCCCGGATGTTAATCCAGCAGAAGCTAGAGAAGCCAACAATTGTCTGAGTCGGCTTCAACGTCGACTTATCCAGACAGTTTCCCGAATGCTTTAGTGAGGTATTCGAAAACAAACCGAGAGAGTCAGTCATGCGGCATGTCCGCACGAACTGGCCCTCAAATTATCCAGCCAGCTTCGTATAGTATGTGCCCCAACAGCCATACATGCCATATGGATCACCATACATGCAGCCGACCCTCTTTGGGGGTCATGCGGCACTGAATGTCCAGCCAATGGACTGGTAGCTCCGGCTACTAAACCTTGGGGAACAGCCCTCGGCTTTCTCCAAGGAGATAACCGAGGCGGCTCAGCCGGCCAAGGTTAAGAATGTGTTGGTTGGTACCTATGACGGTATTACCAACCCGGAAGACCACCTAATGGCTTACACCAACCTCATGTATTTACAGGGGTTGGATGATGTCGCCTGGTACAGATGCTTCCCGGCGACATTGAAGGGTATAGCCTAACGATGGTTTGGCAATCTGCCAGCCTGATGCATCAACAATTTCAAGACGCTTGCATACTTGTTCACGTTCGACTTCTCTATGAATATCCCCGCCAAAAAGACAAGTCTCGACTTGGGAGCTATCCAGGATGGAGATAGGGAGGGGCTAAGGTCCTATGTCGGGCGGTTCAATCTAATGAGAATTTAGATTCAAGGGTTTTTTGACGAAGTTGCCTACACAGACTTCTTCAAGGCCTGAAGGATGGGTCGACCTTTAAGTTCGACCTGGTCAGAAAGAGGGTTGCTACCCTCCAAGAAGCTTTGATGGAAGCCGAAACCTATATACAGGCGACGGAGCTTTGTTCCATCAAGCAGCCATCAAACCCTAAAAAGTCCGACAAAAAAGAGAGTCGGTCAGCTCAGCCGGCTAAAAAAGAGAAGAGCAAGAAAAGGAAAGAGGTCTGGATGGCGGACAATTCTGGTCAGTCATCTCAAAAGAAGAAAAAAGAGTTGAAACCGTACGTTCCCAAATACGAGTTCAACAAGGGCTGTTACTCCATCCTCATGGAGATCAAAGACCAGGTGACTATTGAGAAACCGGCTGCAATGAAAAGTCATGTCAAAAGTCGAGACCAGGACAAATATTGGCACTTCCATGAGGATATAGGCCATGACACAACGATTGCTATAGCCTTAGGCGGTCGTTGGACCGTCTGGCTGACAAGGGGGTACTGAAGTCCTACCTTCTGAAGTCTAAGGTGATCCTCAGAACAAACAATGGGCAGCCGTCTAAAAAGTCAGACCAACTTGCTATTAGCTCTGACACTGATGAAGACCAGATCTATACTATAGCAGGCGGTTTTTTCGGAGGGGGTCCTACCATCCGGGGCACCAAGGACTACATCAGAAGGTTGGAGGTCAACTCAGTGGATGAGGGCCAGACGTCGAAAGACACCTTCCCTGAGGTCATCATCTCTGAGAAGGACCGTGGCAAGGTTAGGCGGCCACATGATGACCCCATAGTCATCGAGTGCAAGGTCGCCAATCAACGGGTGGGCCGGATCCTTATTGATACCGGGAGCTCATATGACCTTATCAGCTACAGGTGCTTGGCGAAGCTCAAGTACAAGCCTAGCAGCATGCACAAAGTCTCTCACCCCTTAGTTGGTTTTGGGGGTGGAGTAGTGCATCTGGTGGGGAGGATTGACCTACCTATCCGGCTAGGAGAAAAGGGGGAAGGACGGCACATGGTCGTCAAATTCTTGGTGGTTGAAGAATTGACCGCCTACAATCTGATTTTGGGCCGTCCAACCCTCAACGAGTCCAAGGCAGTCATCATCCCATCCTTCATGCTGCTGAAATTTGAGAGGGATGATGGGTCAATGGGTTCCCTGAATGGGGATCAAAAGACAGTAAGGAAATGTTATCTCTTAGACGTCAAGCCTACTGTGGTCACAACCGGCCAAGGCGGCGAACCCATTGACCTTGATGACTTCAAGGAAGCCGCGCCTGCTCCTAAGGTTGCCGGCAAAAAGAGGAAGGCGGACTAGTTGGTGGCCGTTAAGAAAGAATAGCAATAGCAGTCACTGATTGGGGAACGGTCAGAGGATCTCCGTCCCCAAGCGGCTGGTGAGCATATTGACATCCCTCTTGACGATGCACGACTGGAGCGAATTGTTAAGGTAGAGACGGCTACTTTTGCAAAGTTGGGTGCCGACCTGCACCAACTGTTGAAAGAATTCAAAGACATATTTTCCTTTGAAGTGGAAGAGATGCCAGGCGACAACCTGGATCTTGTTGTCCAAAAACTCGCCGTGGATCCAAAAAAGAAGCCGGTTAGGCAAAAGAAAAGAAATCATGGCAAGGAGAGATCTCAGGCGGCTGCTGCCGAGGTCAAGAAGCTGATGGACGCCGGGTCATTCGGCAATGTTATTACCCGGATTAGGTAGCAAACGTTGCTCTCGTGAAAAAGCAGAATGGTACCTGGCGTATGTGTGTTGATTACACAGATATCAACAAAGCATGTCCAAAGGATAGCTATCCACTCCCAAAGATCGACAGTCTGGTCGACTCTACAGCCGGTCGTGCCTTGATGAGTTTCATGGACGCCTACTCAGGCTTTCATCAGATACCCTTTGTGGAAAAAAGATCAAGAGAAGACGGCATTCGTCACTGATCAAGGGTTATTCTGTTATACGGTGATGCCGCCGTTTGGGTTGAAGAATGCGCCTGCTACTTTCTAACGAATGACTAATACAGTCTTCATTAAATAAATTGGGAGGAATGTAGAGGCGTACATTGACGACATGATAGTCAAATCTAAGCTACAACCGGATCACCTTGCTGATCTCCGAAAAACATTCACCACCCTGAGGCGGCATAAGGTCATACTTAATCCTAAGAAGTATGTCTTTGGTGTTGAGTATGAGAAGTTTCTCGGATTCTTGATTGATCAAAGGGGGATAGAGGCTAATCTAGAAAAGATGCAGGCGGTGATTGACATGAAGTCACCCTGCACTGTCAAGGAGGTTCAAAAATTAACCGGTTGCCTGGCGGCATTGGGGAGATTCCTCAGCCGGTCAGGTGACAAGTGCCTCTATTTCTTCCAAGCAATCAAGAAGAAGACTAGATTCGAATGGGGGGGAAATGCTGAGGCGACATTTCAAAAGTTAAAAGAGCACTTGCACTCGTTGCCAAGGCTAGTTAGCCCCCTAGCCTGGGAGGTCCTGTACATGTACTTGGCCGTCTCAGATCATGCCCTCAGTGCCGTTCTCCTAGCTGAGAGAGACGACATTCAGTTCCTGGTCTATTTCATTAGCCATGTTCTTCGAAATGCTGAACTATGGTACCCCTTGGTTGAAAATTTTGGCCTTGCCCTTTTCATGACAATCAAGAAGTTGAAACCCTACTTCTTTGCTTATCCGGTGGTGTCCTACACAGATCAACCCCTCAAGCGGTCGATGACAACTTTGGAGTCATCCGGTAGGATGCTCAAATGAGCTATTGAAATGCAAAGCCTTGAAATCACTTTCGAGCCTAGAAA